GGAGGGGGGGGGGCGTTGCCGTGCCGAAATAAAACGGCCGGAGCTCTAGACACCCTGTGCAAGAGAATAATAGGGGGCGGTACGTGGGGGGGAGAAAGGTGTCCTTTTCGATCCCTAAAGGCCCCCTCTTGGGCCCTAGAGGGCCCCTTCAGGTGTCCTCAAGGACTTCTTTTCTGCAGCTCTCGCTGCTCCCCCATTCATTCATCGCCACCCCATGAAGTCGCGCCCAATTGTCGAACTTGTCCCATGTTCCTCCCTTCCACCCTACTTTCTCGACCCCGTGCCTCCGTACCCTCTTCGCGTTCCCGCCTTGGTGGTATCATACCCCCCCGCTGCCCCTCCAGTGTGGGTCTCGCCGTCTTGTTGTTGTCGGTCGTACTTCCGTTGCTTCTGTCCACACCCATCCGAAACCTCAAGAACAAGCTTCAAATTTCGTGGACTCCAAATTTCGCTTCAGAATATCAAGGATCTGGACTACACACTGGGCGTTCTCTTGGAGCTTAGCTTCTTCGTAACATGTCTGTTTATGTGGATCTGGACTGCCGTCGAAGAACACGCTGGGCGTGAAATCAGTTCGCTCTGCCTAAGATCTTCTGAATTCCAAACAGGTTATGCTGCTTCTTCTTCTTCTTCTTCTTCTTCTTCGGTTTACTTCGCACTGCTCAGCCTCCGAGAACGGGCATCCCGCCGGTGCCCGTGATGTTTCCGAGCTGCCGCTTCCCGCGGTGCGAGGCGGTGGATGCAGCCTCCCTCTCAGCTGGGGCGCCGAAGGCAGAGCCTCTCGGGGTTCGGAAGGGGTGCGGTGGTCCTTGTGTTCTCCCCTCTCGCGCCCAGCAGAATCTCAGCCTGACTCGAGGAGAAGGGGATTTGTTCCGAGTTTGCAGTTCCCATTTAGCGCGACTTCGCGCTTCCTCCTCTGAACGGGATGTATACTATGCCCGCGGACGCATTCCACAAATGTGCACGTGCCTGCGAACACTTTTTCACTATGATTCGCATACCAGCCGTTATCGGATAAAAAACAGGCTTCCAGAAGGGGGCAGCATCTCGATGCCATGAAGAGGCCACCGTGCATCAGCATCGCAGTGGCTCTGTCTGCCCAGCCCTTACGCCTGTCCACCGTCTCCAGCCCACACGTGACCGCAGCGCCCCTGCAGCACTTGAGCTTCCTGCCGGTCTGCCCTGCGCCTGCACCCGCGCGTGCAGTCCACCCGCCAGTCGGTGGCGAGCCACCGCGCCTCGCCGTGGCGACACCCCGCGGCACGCCCTCGCTCTGGTTGGCATCGCTCGGGCGTGCGCATTCTTCCTCGGCGAGGACCATCGAGGAGAACGTTGGGCCATCCTGCAAAAAACACACGCACGAAGCCGGCAAACATCGCGGGGAATGGACGTCCGAGCGATGGCAGGTCCGAGAGCACTGAAACCACGGGACAAGTTCCCCAACACATGCCCGGCGGCCACCAGAACTCACGCCCAAGTTCGCAAGGGCATCGCGCAAGGCGCGAAATACGGATCCATGGTTTTGGGGCGGGGAATTAGTTGTTTTGAGCTTCCGTCTCTCTCTCGCTCATGTTGTTTCCCATGTGCATAACGCATCCACGAATAAGTGTAGATGCATGCGCACGTGCATGCGCATGCGAATGTCAATGTGCGCTTATCTGTAAGTGAGCAGATGCGTAACTCTTAATGTATCTGTACGTTTATACATTTGTACATGTCGTACTATCCGTAGCCTCGTGAACAAGCCAATGAGGCCTCGATTTCAAATCGAGCGTCGCGGGAGCTCTATAGTGCCGCCGCCGCGATCGACCGACCACAAGGCAGCAGCACCCGAGTACCACAAGAGTGCTCGCATCAGTTCTTAGCCCCAGACATGAACATGATCAAAGTGGCAACTCAGAGATTACGTGCGGACGACGCTGGGGGGCAAACATCAGCCTGGTTGATCGGCAGCCGCTACAGGCTGATCCGCGACGTCGCTCTCGCGGTCAACCACGACAGACCCTTTAAAGCCGACGGCCCCAAACTCCGGAAAGGCACGGCCGTGCTGCTTCTGGAACTGACGCAGGATACGCGGTTCAGCGCAAGGAGGAACAGACACATCACGATGGGGCCCCTGATGGGCTTGGTGGCGAGCACGGGCAAGGGTGGCGCTTGGTCCTTCGGGTGGTGTGCTCTGGAGGGGCTCGACACCCATGGTGGGCACGGACCCGTCGCGCGGCGCCTGCCGGAACGAGGCAGCTGGGAGGTCGGTGGCCGGTACAGGACTCGGCGACTACAAAAAGGGTGTACTTTCTGCTGGGGTGTGGTTTGCGAGCGGCGCCGTTGCTTGTGGGGGGCACCAGGATGCCCTCGTCGGGCCTCCTCGGAGCGCGGCGGAGAGCTCCGTCGAGGTCCTCGCCGGCAGGGCTTGGGTTGCAAATCACACCCTCAGCAAGCCGCACCTTCGGAGTCGCCGAAGGATCGCGGGCCAGCCGGCACGTTGGAGCCGGCTCTCCGTGGCTTGCTGCGGCGGCAGGCGCTTGGCGGAGGCCCCGCAGCGCTCGCGGCGCGCTTCCGCGACGGGGGCGGCGGCGCCGCAGCCAGCGGCGGTGTTGCGCCGTGGGCGCGAGCTGAGCAGCCCTGGCGTCTGCGAGCTGGGCGTGGCGGAGGATCTAGGCCTCCGCGGTGGGGTCGGAGCAGGTGGGGTCGGAGGATCGCGCTGCATCGCCGATGCATCGGCGATGCGGCTCGAGCTTAGTGGGCCCTGGAAACGACAGGGCCGTTCTTGTTACCGCTTCCGTTTTGCCGTTTTGTTGCAGGTTCCGACGCCGTTCTTTTACCCGTTCCATGGCCGTTTGTTGGCCGGTTCTGGCTCCAGTTCCAATCTTGCAGCCGTTTTTGTTGCCGTTCCCGGTCGCCGTTTGTGCCGTCTCCAAAACTTGTTCGGACACAGTGCTAAAAAGCGGCCCTGCCGTTTCCGGGGCCCACTCAGGGCTCGATGTGACCCGGCTTTCCGGCGTCGCCGAGGCAGCGCCAGCGTCGCGGCGCGATCTCCGACCCCGTGTGCTCGGACCCCGTCTGGGAGGCCTCTATACTGGAGGATGACGATTAATAAATGACCGGGGGTTGTGTTCACGCGGCGGCGCCCGGGATGACGATTAGAAAAAACCGGCCGCGGGCTGGAAAACTATACTTTTTAATCGTTCTCCTCCAGTCAGAAAATTGTGCAGAAATAGCAGAAGACTATTTCTTGAATCGTTCTCTCCCATTTTTTTCATTAACCGTCACCCCGCATTACAAGGAGGTTCTGGCCCTCGAGTTCGCGGTCGCCTTCTGCGAGGAGGGCAGCGCGCGGGAGCCGCGGCTGCGCGCACGGGTGCGCACCGGCAGCGGCGAGGTCGGGTGGCTCACCGTGGAGATGCCGGGCGAGCTGGTCCTGAGCCCTCTGAACCTTTACAGCACAGAGGCTCGGCTATTTGTTTGGAGATGATGATGAGTTTCTTGACTTAACTCGAGCTGCAGATGAGCTACAGAGCTGTTCGGCACAGCAATCGGAAATAAATCATCGGGCGCGCTAGTTTAAAGTATCTAGACGCCTGAGCTCGGTCTGCCATCTTGGCTGGTTCCGACAAATGGGAACCGGCGGTAAACCGTCAACCAGGTTACCACCGGGCGGGCGGCGAGCCCAGGAGGAAGGGAGGTGGGGGCAGGGGGGCCTTTTCAGAAGGCGGCGGGGCTTCTCAGAACCCCATCCAGCCTTCTCAGAAGCCGTCTCCATGTGGGGAGAAACCGTACACCCACTCGAAATCTTAAGGAAAGCGTGACTCTTCGTTGACTCAGATATTCCGCTCACGAATCTCAAGAATCTGGATTGGACCCTGGGCGTTTTCTTGGAGCTTCTTGGCTTCGTAGAATGTTTGTATATCTGGACCTGGACTACGATTCAAGAAAATGCCTGGAGCGAAGTCGAGTCGATTCTCTTAGTGTAAAGTGTTCTTAACTCTAAGCTCGAGTGTAGGAGACTTCACATAAGGCCGCAAGCCTTCCGAGCAGTCTGAGGAGTCGCCCGCCCCCGCTGCACTCTTCCCCTTGGCTCTCCGCCAAGAGGCGTTCAAGGTCGGCGTGCTTCAGACCCACGGCCCGGTCGAAAGGCATCGCGTGCCCGTCGCAGACGGAGATCGGCTACATGTAAGAGTGACCCTTCGCCGGAGGGACCTTTGGTGCGGGCCCGTCCTGCGCGCTTGCGTTTGGTCCCCCCGCGGCCCCCAATAGCTGCGCACCAAAAGGTCACTCTTGCCCAGGGTCACTTCTGCGAGTAGCCGAGGAGAGCGGGTGACGGAGGGGCACCGCCTGGCGTGGGAGAGCGGGAAATTCCGGGTGTTGCTCGACGCAGCGCTGCTCGACGGCCCCAGCGTGCGGAGCAGCCGGCGCGGCTACGCATGGCGCGGCAGCCTTGTCGTCGTGGATGAGGTCCAGAGCCACCCAGAGGGCGGTCACAAGCGCATGTGGCTCAAAGTCCGTGTCGAGGTGTCCGAGCCGACGAGGGGTGGGGTCGGCTGGATCACTTGGTTGGACGGAAAGCGGCCTCCGCTGGACATCCGGGACCACCTCGAGCATCAGAAGTTCCTCGCGCAGTCGCGTGCTCTTTTTCATTCGGAGGAGAGCGACGAAGGCGTCGAGTCCCGTGCTGCCTCACCTTGCAGGGGGCGCCGGTTGGGTTGGGGGAGCTGCGAAGGGTCCGAGGGGGCGCCAGTAGAGGAGCGGGCAGATGAAGAGCCTGTTGGGGAGGTGCTGAGCGAGGAGGCAGAGGCTGTGGGTGCATTGGCAGAGGACCCTCTGACCGAAGGCGAGTACACTGTCAGCGTTGCGAGGGCGCCGGATTCCAGACTGGGCATCCACGTCCAGATCCCCGAGGCAGGTGGACCGCAGGCGACGGAATTGCTCATAGACGAAGTTGGGCTCGAGGGCGTCATCCCAGACTGGAACGCGCAGAATCCCGAATCTGTCGTCACCGCTGGCGACAGGATCGTCTGCGTCAACGCCGCGCGCGGCGATGCCATGTCTGCCATGCTGAGGGAGCTCGCCGACGCGCCCCACCTCTCGATGCGCCTGCGGCGCGCGCCGCACGAGACCGCCGGGAGCTCTTTCCACGCGTCCAGCCCGAGCTCGGCGGAGGGGGCGCACGCCGCCGCCAGCGCGCACGACAGCGGCACGGAGGGCGACGAGTCGCCCAGAAGCTTGCCGCAGTTGCAGCCGCTGCTCTCGGGCGACCTGGAGCTGTCCGAGTCCGAGGTAGCCTCGTCGGCGCTCCTCACCGCACGGACCTTGCTCACGAGCCGGGCTGGCAGCAAGGATCGAAGATGAAGCAAGTGCACAAGCATAAGCTTTCGGAGCTCCGCGCGGATCTCTTGGATCGGCGCCAGACCCCATCCCTGGCGCGCGGAGCGCGGTAGGGCCGGTGCGCCGCGGGGGGTCCAGCGCCGATTCAAGCGATCCGCGTGGAGCTCCGCAAGTTTATGTTTGTGCAGCCGTTTTTTTGTTTTTCAAGGAGCACGCCAAGCTGATGCAGACCCCCGAGGTGACAGACAGGGCTGCCGCCAGGCAGATGACGCCCGACTCACCGAGGTCCCCCGCGTCGAGGCCAGCCGACTCGCCGTCGGGGTCCGCCGGCGTGGCCAGGTGCGCACCGGAGCTGCTGGATCTGGACGCAGGCTCTCGGCGGCGCGCGGGGAGGGGGGGGGGCCCAGAAGTGCTCGATGTACCCAGACATGCTCGCGTCGTGACAAGAGATTGCTTTTTGAACGTCCGTTATGGGGGGGTCGCCCCCCCTCCCTCCGCAACGATAACGAACGTATGGGGATGGTGTCCCGACGCCCCACAGCTATGGCTCCATGGCGCCATGTTTCCAGACGCCTCAAGAGGCTGTCGTCGCCGTCGTCATCGTCGTCAACACTGTCGTCGTTGTCATCGACGTCGTCGTCGTCGTCGTCGTCGTCGTCGTGGTCGTCGTCGTCATCGTGGTCGTCGTCGTCATCGTCGTCCTTGTCCTCGTCCCCGCGTCGTCGTCGTTGTCGTCGTTGCTGTCGTCGTCGTGCCCGAGGGCCCCGCAGGGCCTGCAGACGCCTCCAGAGGCCTCTGGAGATCTCCTGAGGCCTCCGGAGACCTGTGTAGACATGGAGAGGCGGCCGTCGTCGTCATCGTTGCCGTCGTTGTCGTCGGCGTCGTCGACGTCGTCCTCGTCGTTTTCGCCATCGTCGTCGTCGTCGTCGTCGTCGTCGTCGTCGTCGTCGTCCCCGTCCTCGTCGTCGTTCGAGGTCTCGTCGTCGTTGTTGTCATCCTTGTCCTCGAGGGCCTCGGGAGGTTTCCAGAGGCCTCCGGAGACCTCCTGGGACCTATGGAGACCTTCAAAGGCTGCCGTGGTCGTCGTGGTGGGCGTCGTGGTTGTCGTCGTCGCCGTCGTCGTCGTCGTTTGTCGTGCTCATCCTCGTCGTCGTCGTCCTCGTCCTTGCTCTCGACCTCCTCGTCGTCGTCCCCGTTCACGTCCTCGTCCTCGTCCTCGTCGTTGTCGTCGTCGTTGTCGTCGTCGTTATCGTCGTCGTCGTCGTTGTCGTCATTGTCTTTGTTGTCGTCGTTGTTGTGGTCGTCCTCTCGTCCTCGTCGTCGTCGTTGTCGTTCTCATCGTCATCGTCGTTGTCGTCGCTGTTGTTGCCGTTGTCGTCGTCGTCGTCGTCATCGTCGTTGGCGTCGGCATCGGTTGTTGACGTCGGCGTCGTCGCCAGCGTCGGCGTCGGCGTCTGCGTCGGTGTCGTCGTGCTCGTCGTTTCAGTCGTCGTCGTCGTCGTCGTCGTCGTCGCTGTCTTCGTCGTCGTCGTCGTTGTCGTCGTCACAGTCGTTCTCGTCCTCATCCGCCTTGTCGTCGTCGTCGTCGTCGTCGTTGTTGTCGTCCTTGTCTCCACGTCCTCGTCGTCGTCGACGTCCTCGTCCCCGTCGTCGTCGTCGTCGTCGTCGTCGTCGTCGTCGTCGTCGTCGTCGTCGTCGTCGCCGAGGGCCTCGAATGGCCTCCAGACGCCTCCAGAGACCTTCAGAGGCGGACGTCGTCGTCGTTGTCGTCGTCCTCGTCTTTGTCGTCGTCGTCGTCGTCGCCCTCGTCGTCCTCGCCCTCGCCCTCGTCGTCGGCCTCGTCCTCGTCGTCGTCGTCGTCATTGTCGTTATTCCAGTCCTCGTCCCCGTCTTCGTCGTCATTGTCGTCATCGTCCTCGTCCCCGTCCTCGTCTCGTTCCCGTCGTCGTCCGCGTCCTCATCCTCCTTGTCGTCGTCGTCGTCGTCGTCGTCGTCGTCGTCCCCGTCGTCGTCGTCGTCCCCGTCGCCGGGGGCCTCGAAGGGCCTTCAGACGCTCCCACAGGTCTCCAGAGACCTCCAGAGAGACCTTCAGAGGCGCCCGTCGTCGTCGCAGTCCTCGTCGTCCTCGTCCTCGTCGTCGTCGTCGTCCTCGTCGCCGTCCTTGTCCTCGTCGTTGCCGTCGTTTTCGTCCCTGTCCTCGTCCTCGTCCTCGTCGTCGTTATCGGCGTCGTCGTTGTGGTCGTCGTCCCGCGCCCAGGCTCCCCCCCAGGGAGCCCTACTATTGTAGTAGCCTCTGGCCAGTGCCGCCGATCCGGGGCGCTCCGGATGATGATGACAATGATGATGATGATTATGATGATGATGATGATGATGATGATGATGACGATGACGATGACGATGACGATGACGATGACGATGACGATGACGATGACGATGATGATGATGATGATGATGATGATGATGATGATGATGATGATGATGAGCATGGTGATGATGATGATGATGATGATGATGATGATGATGATGATGATGATGATGATGATGATGATGATGATGATGATGATGGTGATGTGACGATGGTGATTGTGATGGTGATGGAAATGGTGATGATGTTCATCACGATGGTGATGATCATCATCCTGCCCCTCTCTCCTGCCCCCCCCTCCCTGCTCTCCTGCCCCCCCCCTCTCTCCTGCCCACCCCCCCTCTCTCCTACCCTCCCCCCTCACTCCTGCCGCCCCACTCCCCCCCTTTCTCCTGTCCCCCCCCAGCTCTCCTGCCCCCCACACCTGCTCTCCGGCCCCCCCCCCCTCTCTCCTGCCCCCCCCCCCCCTCTCTCTCCTGCCCCCCCCCCCTCTCCTGCTCCCCCCCCCCCCCTCTCCTCCCCCTCCCCCCCCCTCCTCTATCCTTCCCCTCTCTCCCCCCCCCGGGCAGAGCGCCCATCTGCCATGCGAGCCCTCCCGCGCCTTTCCTTGCAGCTCCTGGTCCGGCCTGAGAGGCGCCCCCCCCCCCTTTTGCCCCCCCTTTGCAGCCCCCACCCCCTGCAGAGCGCCCCCCCCCCTCCCTCTCCCTCGCCCCCTCTCCCTCTTCCTCTCTCTCTCTATTCTCTCACTCCTGCCCCCCTCATACAATTACTCGATATGAAAATCTACTCTCCCTCTCTTCCCCTGATGACGGCCGGCCTGGGAGTGTCCGACCCCCCCCCCCCGCGTATTGTTTTTTACACAGGTTTCCCTGGAGTTGGGTTTTCGCTTGCATTTTTTCCCAAAATGCTGCTCTCGCTGAGGCGCCGGCCTCATTTTCGTGCCCTGCTCGTTCCGAATTGTGCTCCCGCTGCAGCGCTGGCCTCATTTCCGTGCTTCTGCTCGCTCCGAATCGTGCTCCCGCTGCAGCGCTCGCCTCATTTCCGCGCTTCCGCTCGTTTCGATTCGTGCTCCCGCTGCAGCGCTGGCGTCATTTCCCGTGCCATGCCACGGCATGCAATGCAATGCTAGGTTGATACTACGCTTTGCGGTGCTCTTCTACGCCATGCCATGCCGTGCTCTACAATGCATCGCGTACCCTTTCGGGATCATTGCCCTGCTCGACATCCGACTGTGCGAGCAGAGAGGGGATCTGCGCCATGGTAAGGGATGAGAGGGAGGGGTAGGACGTCAGATACGGTAGAGGGAAACAATTAGTGAACACCCCCCTGCCCCCCAAACTCAAAGTTGGCACGCGGGGGGGAGACTGCGGTCGAGGTGCAACTCATCAGACCCACCGCCAACTTTGAACATTGGGGGAAGGGGGAGGTGTTCACAGATGAATGTGGCATGAGTGTTCGCTAATTTTTCCGAGGCCTGTATGACGCGAGCGCACCTAGCTTGCCTGCCCCCCCCCTCTCCTGCCCCCCCCTCCTCCCCTCTCTCCTGCCCCCTCCCTCTCCTGCCCTCCCCTCTCTCTCCTGCCCCCCCCTCTCCTACCCTCCCCTCTCCTGCCCCTCTCCTCTCCTGCCCCTCTCCTGCCCTCACCCTTGCAAGGCAGAGCTCCGGGAGAGTGCCGAAATCGAGGGGGGGGGGCTGGCAGGGGGGGGGGTGGTGCCGAGCACTGAATTCGACAGTAGATGAGGTCCCCCCCCCCCCCTCGCAGAGCGACGCTTGAGCGAGCTCAAGCCCACGCTCTCAGAAACTCACACGCCTGATCGGCGTCGTCGTCGTGGTCGTTGTCCCGCGCCCAGGCTCCCCCCCCAGGGAGCCCAAGTATTTTACCGTTTCCCCCAACAGACATTACGGGGTTGAATAAGCAAACATAGCAGGACGGACGGTGTAGGACGTTTCAGCTTATGGGGTCCCACGCACGGCCTCCGGACAGTCAGAAGATATTCGAGATAGAAAACCAGCCTTGTGGAGAGGGTTCGGACTTCGAGGGGCCGCGTCGTGAAACAATCAAGGCATCGAATGTCTGAGTATGCCGCACGTCGTTGTCTCGGCCAAGGAGCCAATGAGCTCGGCGAAAGAATTCGGCGCCCATAGACCCTGACATCCCACAGGTCTGGAAGCTGGGGCGCGTCTATACAACGAGCGCCTCGGCCGACTGGACGATTGGTGTATACTTTGAGTCCCTCCCAATGGCGCGAGGGGGCTTCTCCAAAGACATCTCGGAAGGCCACCCCCAATCCGCGCCACGCGACCCCAGACCTCCGACGCCGTGGTCTCGCTTTTCGCTTTCCATCGCGAGCCGTGCTCTGATCCCAGACATGCGATGTCGTAATTGGTTGAACACGGCGTCCCTGGAACCCCGACCACTTTCCCGGGACAGGCTCGTCGTCCCGAGCCGCACGGTCCTGCAGGCCCGGCGTGGGCCCCCCAGAGGCCGAAAACAATGAAAAGCGTCGTCGTCGCGCGAGCATGTTTTGGTTTTCGGGCGCACTTCTGCAAGCACGTCGATTTCGGCACCGCCGGATCCCGAGGCTTTGCCTCCTCCCGCCCTCGCCCGGAGGCTGCGCTCTCCCCCCCTCCTCCCCCTCTTTGTTGGTTCAAGCTTCGCGCGGCCCGCCTAGCTTCGACCGGAAGAGGTGCGCTCTCGACCCGCGAATCAAACATGTTTTGCTTGGCTCCCTCCTCGCCCGGTCCGCCCATCATCAGCCATCCCTCGGCTCCGGCTGCCTAGGGCTGGCGATCATCCGAAGGAGCATGAGCATGAGCATGACCATATGACCAAGTCAATTATCCCAGTGCGACCCTACCTAGGAGTTGGAGAATCTAGGACAGCAACATCAAACACTTATATGAAGCTAAGCTAAGGTAAAATGAAGCTAAGCTAAGATGAAATAAGGTAAGCTAAGCTAATATAAAACTGAGGTAAGATGAAACTAAGCCAAGGTCAGATGAAATAAGCTAAGCTAAGATGAGATAAGCAACGCGAAGCTAAGGGAACGTCACTGGGGGAACCGCGGGGCGGATACTGGGGGAACCGCCCGGGGCGGGTTACATTGCCCGGCCCCTTTAAGCCTCAGAGTAAGAACCCTTCTAGGCAGAGCCTAGGTAGGGAACTAAACACTATCACAACTTCAGGTCACCATGGTACTGCATCTGGTGACTGGGGTGGACAAACCCACCAGCAATGTGCAACGCAGCATCGGGCGGCGTGCGAAGCATGACGCCATTATAGTTGAGAGGAGAGAAGCACGGCGTCCTCAGCCACGCGGTCCTCGTGGCCCTTGAGGCCGAGTCTCCGCACCTAGTGCACCTACACCCTGTGCTGCCCACAGTATGGGACGAGGAAAGAAGGGCGAGAGAGGCAGCAGCAGGAGGCGGAGGAAGGGCAGGGGCGGGCTGACCTTCTTCACCAGCTTCGCTCTTCTCCTTATCCTCAGCAGCCATCGAGTCGAGAGTGGCCCAAAGAATACGCATCCTGACAAGTCGGGCCACACGTTCACGGATCAAGACTTGCTGTCGGGTGGCTTTGGGGAGGCGAGTTTCCAAGGCCGCTTGTCCAGCAGCCTCGTCAACAATCAGACTACTTGCCACCATCCACCGCGGCGTTCTCCCTTCCACGACGTCAGTGGCAGACAGGTGAGAGTTCATAAAGAGAGCGGGGATGGAGGCGTGAGACCTTTTCTTTTACAAGAGCCTCAAGAGCGACCACAGGTCAGCATCTTCTCCCGCGGGCGCCTCAAACTTTCGACTAGAACCCTGCGACTGCTGGTTCGCAGTCGGAGGCAAAGGCGATGGAGCCTGTGGTCATCCATGCAGCCAAGAGCACTGCGCGAAGCTGTCCTCGAGCAACAAGCTGCCTGTGCCCCGAAAGCGGGTCGCGCACAGTCGAGGCGAGCTGCAAATCAGGCGCAGGTGCATGCATGAAGGCCACCGCTACGCCCACACGGCGAAACAGGGGTTGCTAGTGGCTGGGTCCCCGCTCGCACCTCCGAACGCAAATCAACGGCGCCTGCTCAGAGCCGCCTGGGAGGCAACCCTCGACGATCACCTCACCGTCCAGCTCCTCAGTGCCTACCCAGCTCTCGGTGTCGCTGCGCGCTGGCACTGCTGTCCAGGATGCTGGCATGAGCCCTCGAAGCCAGAAGCCCTGGTCAGCCTCTCCTTGGGCCAGGGCCTGCGGAATCAGGTCGCTCGGCTCGTCGTACGCACCCCGTCCGACATTTTTCAAATGCGATGCATCATATCCTCAGGTGCCTTCTGACACCGTGGGCATTCGATCGCACCCACATACTTGCTCAACTCCTCCGTCTTGTGCTGACAAGGCCAGCATCCACCAACAGCGCAGGCGAGCATAACCTCCGACAGCCTGTGGCCATACACGGGTACAGCCGCCAACTGTTGCAGCAAGATTCGGTAGGAGGCGCAGTCGACGCCCTGCTCCAAGCCAGCGCCGCAGAAGTGCCAGCTAGCCCTCTGCCACAGGGCGTGCTTCAGCGTCTGCTTGAAATCTTTGAAAGAGCGTGTTCTACCGCTGCTGGCGGAAAACCGGGGGGGGTCACTACCGGTTCGAACCCCTCCCCCCCCCCCCCCCCTCCGGAAAACCGGGGGGGGTCACTACCGGTTCGAACCCCTCCCCCCCCCCCCCCCCCGCTCATCATGAAAAGGGGGGGGGGTCACTACCGGTTCGAACCCCCCCCCCCCTCCGGATCCGGAAAACCGGGGGGGTCACTACCGGTTCGAGATACCCCCCCCTCGAAAACCGAGTGGGGGTGCGGACAGTGGTGGGGACGGTGTTGGTGGGGACAGTGGTGAGGGGATAGCGGGACAGTGGTGCAGACAGTGGGACAGTGGTACAGTGGTGGGGACGGTAGTGGTGGGGACAGTGGTGGGGACAATGGTGGGAACAGGGGGGGACAGTGGACAGTGGTGGTGACGGTGGTGGTGGGGACAGTGGTGTGGGGACAATGGGAATGAGGTGGAAACAGTGGGACAGTGGAGGGTACAATGGTGGTGGGGACAGTGGTGAAGGCGGTGGCGAGGACGGCGGTGGGACAATGGGACAGAGGTACAGTGGGGACAGTGGTGGGGACAGTGGGGACAGTGGTGGGAACAGTGGGACAGCTCAGTGGGACAGCGGAGGAGTCAGTGGGACAGTGGGGACAGTAGGGATAGTCGGGCAGTGGTTGGGGCCGTGGAGACAGTGGGGAGAGTGGAACCGTGGTGGGAACAGTTCTGGGGACAGCGGGGACAGTGCGACAGTGGTGGGGCCACTGGTGGGGACAGTAGGGGCGGTGGTGGAACCAGTGGGGACAGCGGTGGTGAGGACAGTGGTGCTGGGAACACCAGTGGGGGATGTGATGCGGACGGTGGTGGGGACCGGGAGTCGTTTGCTGGCGGTGAGTAGGGGGGGGGGGGGGGGTGGGGGTGGGTTCGAATGGTAGTGCCCCCCCGGTTTTCCGGATCCGGAGGGGGGGGGGGGGGGGGAGGGGTTCGAACCGGTAGTGACCCCCCCCGGTTTCCTCGGTCGGGGGGGAGGGGAGGGGGGGGGGGGGAGGGGTTCGGGGATTTTCGGAGGGGTGGGGGGGGGGGGCGACCCCCGGGTTCCGGAGGAAAAGGTGGGCAATTTTCCACAGTAAAGCGGCGGTGGATCACGCTCTCTCCAAATCTTTCAAGAACCCCTGGTGAGAGTCCAGCGCTGCAAGCCCAGAGTACATCTCGTCGAACTTCCACACTTCGCCAGAGGCAGGGTGACTGTCAGGCATGTCCCACGCTGTGGCCTGCTGCGGGTCCCAGCCTGCCTCCAACGCGTGCAGGACGGTGGCAGAGAGCGGGCCCCTCACATGCCGAACTCGCTGCCGATACACTCCATCCCATGCTTGCCCGACTCCCGCTCTCAAACCTGGCTGCTCCCGCCAAGTGCGCAGCCAAAGGTCCAGCGTCCCGACTGGCAGCCTGGGCGCAGGGTCCGCAGCACCTGCCCGCAGCGCCAGCAGCACTGTCAGGCAGCGCCCACGCGTGGGCGCGGCCAGGGACATGCCCCAGCGCCGACGCACCGGGGCCATCCTGGCGCCGAACGTGCCATAGGCCTGGTGCCCATACACTCCCGCCGCCTGCGCCCCCGCCGCTTTTCGAGCCCCCCCGTGGCGCGGCACCTCTTCGGCACGAGGGCGCACCGCCGCACCCTGCCACTCATGGCCTCGTGCTTCGCATCCCTCTTGGCTGGACAGTGTACACTGGCCGACCTCGCCCTGCGGGCGACCCACCTGGCGTCATTGAGCGACGAGCACACAGTCACCGACCCAAAAGCAGCACGCAACTGCTTGGCCCGTAGCTCTTTACACGTGTCTATCACACACGCTGCTCAATCCTTCCTCGCGGCGGCCCCCTTGTCCTCGATGTGGAGGGGAAGAGGGAGGGGAGGAGGGAGGAGGGAGGAGGGGAGAGAGAACTGAGGAGGGAAGAGGGAGGATGGAGGGCAGGGGAGGGAGGAGGGGCGCATGAAATCCTGGGCCCCGGGCCCCGTGGCGCTCTTCTGCCCGCGGCGCGTCGGAAGGGCCCCTCTGCGCCCCCCCCCCCCGCGAGGCTCGGCGTGGTCCTCTCCGGCGAGCGGCCTGGGCGCCGGCCCCTGGCGGAGCGGGCCCTCCCGGGCGGGGCAGGAAACGGCGTGAGGACGGATCTCGGAGGAGGGAGAGGCTCATAGCCAGGGGAGGGAAGAATGACATAAGCACGAAAACTCGGAGGTCCGCGCGGGGGCAGGAAACGGCGCGAGGACGGATCTCGGAGGAGGGAGAGGCCCATACCCAGGGGAACGAAGAATGGCATAAACAGAAACAAAATCTGAGGTCCGCGCGGATTTCTCGGAACGGTGCCGGGGCCCCCTGGCGGCGCCTCCAGCGCCGCCCCCGGCGCGCTTCGCGCGCCAGGGAGGGGGGTCCAGCGCGGATCCAAGAAATCCGCGCCGACCTCAGAGTTTTTATGTCTATGTCACCTTTCGGTTCCCTAGAGGAGGGAGAGACTCATATACCGCTACCATTCCGTCGTTTTCGCTCTTTTGGGCCTCTTCGGAGGCCCTCGTCGCAACCGCTGGATTCGCTTCGGCATTCTGGTCAGAATGCACCCCTGGAGAGGTCCGGGGGGTAGCGGTATCGGTATTTCTTGGCCTCCCAAGACGCGTCCCGTGTGCAAGACGTCCGTGTCAACACGTTGCGAGTTGGCTCAGCGTGTTCGCCCACGCTCTGGCGAGTGTATCGCGCCAGACCCACGTTTGCAGTCCACGTGCTGAACTCCGTGTCAACACGCTGCGGGTTGCAAGGGGGGGCAGAGGGGGTGGACAGAACCCCCACCCTGACACGCCGATTCGTGAATTGTCCATGTTCGGTTCTCGAGATGGCGCCGCGGCCGTCATTTTCCAGGCTTGCGCCTGCCAGGTTTGGGCCCGAGGTCTTTTTCGCTAAGCCACGTTTTGCGACAGGGGGTCCTGTCCATCCCCGAGGGCAGGCCTTCCCAGGAGGCTCGGAATGCCTCAGGCCTTCTGAGCAGTCTCCTCCTCCTCCTCCTCCTCCTCCTCCTCCTCCTCCTCCTCCTCCTCCTCCCAGTTCTTCAGGCCGTCTCCGAGGAGACGGGCACAGCTTCTCGGAAGTCCCGCCGCCTTCCGGGAACGCGCGGCGTGCCCCCCTCGCACTTCCCCCCGGGGGCGCGTCGCCGAGGCGTGAGCACAGACGTTTCTGGGAGGTCCGCGCCTTTCTTTTGTCGAGTCCGGCGTTCTCGCCCTCTTTCGGGCCCGGGGACCCTCACAGATCGACCTGGCCTGAGAGATTGCTCAGAAAGATGGGGCTCCTGGCTTCGGCCGTGACTTGCAGTGTGTTTGTTCACTGCGCCGGATCTCAGCGTCCTGGGTCGGCGTTGGGCCCTCAGCACCAGCGGCGCCGCCAGGATGTGGTGGGGATGGTGGGGTCCGGCGATGCGCACGTGGGCACTGGCGGTGCGTATCCCGTAGTTCTTTGAAGCAGAGCAGCTGTGTGATCCAATCCGGTGGTTCATACAGTCGCGCCAGTCATTACGAAACCTTGTCCAGCGCTCCTTCGGCGGTGTTCCTGGAGGCTGGCACAGTTTCTTGAGCCGCCATGCGCATCCACGAGGCTGTACGCGCGAGGTTGGCCCAGCGCGTGCTCAAGGTTTTGCTGGAATGCTGGCTCAAGCTTCTTAGGCGAGTCGTTTCTGAACCGTCGCCGTGGACGTAACAGCCGAGATCTGGGAGCCAGTTGCTTGGATCCCCCGGCTCTGGCTCGCATGCAGTCCCTGAGAAGTACGGGGTCCAGGCCAGTGGTCCAAGAGCTGAGGTTGGGGGGCACTGCCTTGGGTCCCGTCTTTCGGCTGACAATCCCTACGGGTTACGGGGTTCAGGCCAGTGGTCCAGATCGGGGGTCGAAGAAGCGACACCACCACTACCAGCTGGCCAACTCCAGCGAGGAGGTCCACGATGCCACCCCCCCGAGCAGGAGGTTAGAGATGTCGCGAGCGGCCAGGGGGGGCACACCACTATGTGGACCCTCCCAGACGCCTCGCGGTGGTGGCGGCGCCGCCGATGATATCATATATTATTGCTCCTGTCCAGAAGCGCGGTCCGCGCCTTCGCCGTGCCCACTCAGGCAGGGGCTACTGGAAGCGTGTGGTTAGGCAGCTCGTTGCTTCGGGACGCGCGGCCCGCGACTGTCCACTGCCCCCTGGCCCGGCCCATCCCGGGCCTGGGAGCAGCGTCCCCACCCTGGCCGCGCCGGGAGTGCACTGCTCCACGTCCCAGGACGGGCCTGGCCAGGGGCAGTGGGCACGCACCGAGACAGGCGACGCCTCGATCTCTCACGCAAGCTGACCCCAGGAGTTCCGATCCTCTCCTGAGGGCCGGCTTGTCATCCCGAGCTGTTTTTTGTCGGTCCAGAGGCCCAGCGAGGCCCCCGGAGGCCAATCACAGGCGCACATGTTCCATGACGTGTGCTTGCACGACACGGAAGTTGCACAAACATCAATGTCGCAGATCCTCACGGGTTTTCTGGATCTGCGCTGGGCCCCCCTGGCGGCGCTTCCGGCAACGCTCCTGACGCATTCCGCGCTTCAGCACTCCGCGCTTCAGGGAAGGGGAACCAGCGCAGATACAGGAAATCCGCGCGGACCTCTGACAGTTTATGGTCTGTCGTTCTTCCTATGTGTCGGGCGTTGCCAGACGTGTCCCTGGCCCAAGGTCTCCCCAGGATTTCCGTGTGAGGCCCTCACGCCCTCCTTGCACCCATCACGAGGCCCAGAGGGCCCCCGGGGGCACCTTAGACCAGGGATACCCTCATCCCTGGTATCCCTGGCATCCCCCCTCATTTAAAACATATATATATATATATACGTAGCACCCCGCAATTGCGGATAAGAGTGAGGGGGCGGGCGCGGGCGACGCGGGCGTCGTCGAGCCGGCGGACCTCGTGGCCCCCACCTTCCTTGTCGATGGCGCTCTCCTCCACCTCCTCCTCCTTCTCCTCCTCTTCCTCCTCCTTCTCCTCCTCCTCTTCCTCGTCCTCATCGTCATCGTCATCCTCCTCCTCCACCTCGTCCTCCTCCTCCTCTTCTTCCTCGTCCTCCCTCTCCCCCCCTCGTCTTTTCATCATGGTCCTCCCATTGTCGTCCTCCCCCTCATCGGCCTCCATCATCGTCCTCCCATTGTCGTCCATCATCATCATCCTCCCCATCCTCCCCCTCCTCGTCCTCCTCCTCCCCCTCCTCCCCCTCCTCCCCCTCGTCCTCCTGCTCCTCCTCCTTTTCTTTCTCCACGTTCTCCTTACATCCTCTCTTCTTCCACGTTCTCCTCGTCCCCTGTTTACTCATCCTGCCTCCCCCTCCTTTCCCAAGATAACTGCAACGCAATCCTTTTTTCCACTTTATGCTCCCCGCCTTCTCTGATCAAGGCAACTCGCCAGGGCAAAGTTGCTGGACGGGCTGGCGTGGATGTGCGGGGCGTGAAGAGGTCCTTGCGGGCTCAGACGGCATGCAAGAATCCGCCGCCGCGCTTGTGCGGCATTGGTTTGTTCAGTGAACGTGGTTTAGGTCGCGGGTGGGTCGCGGGCTCTCCACCTCCACCTGGAAGGAATGCAAAAGCAGCCCGCCGCAAGCGCCAAAAAAATTGGTTCGTACACGGAACGAGGTTTGGGTCGCGGGTGGGCCGCGGGTTCTCCACAGGGAACGAATGCAAAGGATGCCCGCCGCAGGCGCCGAAAATGTGGTTTGTACCCTGAACGTGGTCGCGGGTGGGCCGCGGCCTCTCCACCTGAAACGAAGGCAAAATATGCCCGCCGCAGGCGCCGAAAAATGTGGTCTGTACCCTGAACGTGGTTTGGGTCGCGGTTTGGTCGCGAGTGGGTCACGGGATGTGTCGCGGGCTCTCCACTTGGAAGGAATGCAAAAAAGCCCGCCGCAGGCGCCGAAAATTGTGGTTTGTACCTTGAACGTGGTTTGGGTCAAAGGTGGGTTGCGGGTGGGTCGCGGGGTAGGTCGCGGGTGGGTCGCGGGTGGGTCGCGGGTGGGTCGCGGGTGGGTCGCGGGTGGGTCGCGGGGTGGGCCGCGGGGGGGTCGCGGGGTGGGTCGCGGGTTGGGTCGCGGGGTGGGTCGCGGGGTGGGTCGCGGGGTGGGTCGCGGGGTGGGTCGCGGGGTGGGTCGCGGGGTGGGTCGCGGGCGGGTCGCGGGTGGGTCGCGGGCGGGTCGCGGGGTGGGTCGCGGGGTGGGTCGCGGGTGGGTCGCGGGGCGGGTTGCGGGTGGGACGACGACAACAAACAACAATAACAACAACAACAACAATCATTTTACCCGCAACAACAACAACAACAACAACAACAAACAAACAAACAAACAAACAAACAAACAAACAAACAAACAAACAAACAAACAACAACAACAACAACAACAAGAATCCGCACCGCGGAATTCCACATCAGCCACGCACCCAGGGACAGTGAATGACCGTTCGGCCCCCTCACTCTGATATACACACCTTTCGCAACCCCGAAGTTCGGAAGGCGGCGGGTGCGGGTATATGGTCGGCCACCCCTCGGGTGCCCTGACGTGCTCATGTCCGCCGCCCTCCGGGGTCCTACAGGGCAGTTCCAGAGAATCCGCGAGGGCCTCCCAAAGTTTATATGCTTACGCTGCTCCCTCTCTTCATCCACTGCGGCGGGGCCGTTCGTTGGGGAGTGTGCCCAGGAGGCCTCAGACCCGCTGAGGACGGCGCCACGATACCCCTGGCCAAGCTTCAACACGGGTGCTTCGCCAGGTTTTCAGACCCTGGATCGGGGAACAAGCAACGACACAAGCATGCACTTCTGAGGGTTCGCGCGGCTTTCTCGGATCTGCGCTGGAACCCCCTGGCGGCGCCTCCGGCGCCGCCCCTGGCGCGCTCTGCGTGCCAGGGATGTGGGTCCATCGCCGATCCAAGAAATCCGCGCGGAACTCCGACATCTTATGTTCATGTCATGGTTTGTTCCCTTACTGGATTCCTCATCCAATGGTTCTTCATCCAATGCCCTCACCTGCAGCCAACAGGTACAGGTAGCATTACTCTCTGGACCTCTCCTGGGGTGCGTTCTGACCAAAATTTCGAAGCGAATCCAGCGGTGGCGACGAGGGTCTCCCAGGAGGCCTAAAAAGGCGAAAACTACCACCCCCTGGATTAAAAAGTGGTGAGCGGCACTATGGCAGGGAACAACCCCTGGGCCTTCGCCAATCGAAAAAACTCCAGCTTCGACCTTCGATCGGTCCCAAGTAACTCCCAGACAGAGTCGTGACCCGAACCGAGGATCGGCGACGCAGGGGTGGACGAGACGCGCGGTTGTTAGGACAGCCCAAACGAAAGCGCCACTCTTTGGCGATGTGACAAGCGGTCGGGAAATACCTTGCGAGGAATTCTCAAGCGACATCGCCGCTCTCAAGCGGTACGAAGACGGATTTGATTTTTCTTCGGAGGTCCCACGCAAAATCGCCACTTTCAGATGCCGCGGCAAATCTTCAGATCGCCCTTGGAGGCGATCCGAATTCTTGTTGGCGGAAGTCTCAGGCGGAATCACATTTTCAGACGCTGACCCCATTTGGCCGTTATAATATTAAAGGGGGCGAGAGCTGCATCTGAAATTCCCGATTCGGCCCCGGGTCCAACATTGTCCCGGGGCCCCGTGGCCTAACGGGAGGCCAACCGTGTCTTCCTCGATCCCCACGGTCTCCACTTTGTAATCCAGCGGGTTGCAGGCAAGGATAGCAATTTTGGTACCTCTTCCTCCTCTGATCACCGCATTGTTCCGCTGCGGTCATCACTTGTATTTACATCCACTGCAACTTGGAGTTTCGGGCTCCCTTCCCCAGAAACCCGAGTCGCACTGAATATAAATAAGAATCTTTCGCCTAGAGTGTTGATTCTTATCCATGCCCAGTGCGCCTCGGCCTTGCGGCACTCCTTCCAAGACGAACCAAGGCGCATTCGATATGGACATAAATATTGCCTGCATCCCCTCAGGAGAGAAGGAACGACGTACATGTACATGCATCCGCGTCATTTTCGAACGCACGCATTTCGCGAACGTTCGTATCACGACACTTGTCTCGCGGACTAGGGAGGCTGTATTCATGTACGTGGTTTGGCGCGTACGTCCTGCGTGGGCTTCGGCCGGGGCTGGAACGAGGACAATCCGTCCACAGCGTTCCGGAACGCTCTCAGAGCGCTCCGGAACGCTCTGCGGAGGCCGCGGCGCCCGAGACATCCTCCAGAGCCGCCAGCTATCAGAATTTCTGGTCGAGTCATCCTCATCCCGCTTTGTCCTCCCTCGTCCTGGCTTCGCCTTAGTTCACCGAGCGCGGCGTTCCACTACTCGCAAAGAAGTGCCTACTCGCAGTCGTCCAAGAAAAACATATGCCCTCCTCTATGTGGTAGATCGTGAATCCCTCGCGGCGGAGCCAGGCCATTTGCGAGTGGTTACTCCAGATTTCGTAATACAAGGGAGGGGGTCTGGACCCTCCAAGACAAGCCATTTCAGACCTCCCCCGTGGGAGAACCCTCCAAAACATCGTCCCCAGACCCCCCAGGCCCTCCAAGATAGAGCCTGGAAGAGAGCCCCCCCCGAAATGAGACCCCCCTCCCTTTATTACGAAATCTGGAGTACTCTGCGAGTAGTGGACAGCGCTTGTCCACTGGTAGGGCTCCCCATCCCTCCGCCCCCCCCCCCCCCCGCAGGCCCCTGGCGGGCCCCGTCGTCGCGGCCGCGCCTCGGGCCGAGAGGGTCCCGCCGCTGCCGCTGGGCAGGCGCGGAGCCGCCGCGGAGCGGCCGCCGCTGCCGCAGCTGCCGCTGCCGCTGGAGGCGCGGCGGGGGCGGGGGTCCGAGGGCTCTCCTCCTCTTTGGACGCTGCAGGGACATAGATCTAAAGGGGCCTTCCTCTTCCTCCTCCTCCTCCTCCTCCTCCTCCTCCTCCTCCTTCTCCTCCTCCTCCTCCTGTCAGCCATAAGCACTCGGCCAGGCTCCAAGGCGAGACCAGACTGCATCGTGCTCTGAAAGCCCGTCTATGCCAGGTCATGCGGCGCGCTCCGCTGCTGCAAGGTCTCATCCTGTAGGTGAGCTTCACCAAGGCTGGACTCTCCACGGCGGGGCTCAAGGCAGGAATGCGGTCGTGTCGTCCGTATTCTCATTTTCTCATGCGAGTGGCCTCCTCCTCCTCCTCCTCCTCCTCACCCTTCCTCCTCCTCACCCTTCCTCCTCCCCCCCCCCCACCACAACTACTCCATCCCTCAGCCGCGTCGCGGCCTTGCGCGATATCCTCGGCCTGGGTCAGGGGCTGCCGCCCGCAGGCAGCCTGTGCATGTGTGTGTGAAGTAAAACCAGTGTTGGGAGATGCCCATGGGGCCTCATCCGAGGCTCGGCGCGGAGGAAGAGTGGGGAAACGTAAGGCTCGAATTCGCCAGAGCTCGGGTTTGTCGGCCCTCTTTGGCGAGCCCGTTCCGGATTTTGACGTTCCATTTTCCGTGGGATGTCTGCAGCGGGAGTTCGCGTCAAGTTCCAGATTGGGTCTCGTCATTTTCCTGACGACCCCGTCAGGCCAACCCGAGTGCCCCGAACCCGAGTCTTGCGTCTCTCCCCAGACGAGGCACCGACACCGCCACCCCTGCCCTGTATTGGCCTTCCTGGGCCTCCTGTGAGGCCCTCGTGGCCGCCGCTAGGTTCGCCCCGAAATTCCGGTCAGACTGCACCCCAGGAGATACCAGGGGAACAGCGGTATCGGTATTTGTGGGTTCCCCAGCAGCGGCGTCGATTTTGTGGGCGCTCAGAGGAGGGCGAGTTGAGACAAGGGTACTCTAGATTTCGTAATAAAAGGGAGGGGGTCTGGACCCTCCAAGACAAGCCATTTCAGACCTCCCCCGTGGGAGAACCCTCCAAAACATCGTCCCCAGACCCCCCCAGGCCCTCCAAGATAGCCTGGAAGAGACCCCCCCCGAAATGAGACCCCCCTCCCTTTCTTACGAAATCTGGGGTAGTTGGGTTTGGGGGGGGGGGGGGGCCTGGTCGCCACGGTGGGACGCGGCGCGGAATAACTTGGCGCGGCTGGACCCCGGGCGAGTTTTGGAAACCGGTTTGGAGTTGCGGCTGTCTCAGCTCACCCTCCGCCGAGGCACGCCCACCGCCCAGGGCTCTCGCCGAAGAAGAGCACGCATCATAAGCATGCAATGCTCCAGCGAGGCACCCCCGTAACAGCA